ATTCTTTCTGATATGTTTCTGACTACGATATGCTATTACTATGCCGATACGGTTTTCTGACAAGGTTGATTCGTTGCATATGCTCAGGAGCTGCTGTGCGTCATGTACAGCACGGTGATACAAAGCCAGTACAACCGCCATGGATGTAAAATAGATCTGAGTTTGACTACTGACGTACTTTGTATTCCTCGGCTACCAAAACGTCACCACCTACAATCTATGTGTACTAGATCGACGTATGAATGGAAGGAGCACTACCCCTCACCACTAATTGACTTGGATTCAACTTCGCTAGGTCGATATTTAGGACGTACAACTACCTGTGGGAGCTGATAAAGAAATGTACATTTATCTCGTACGAGGGAGAAGAGGCGGACACGCGTGATGATGTGCTACCCTTCGACAATGCAAAGGTATTGATACATACATATATACATGTATTGACAATACAGAGGTATTGATACATACATATATACATGTATGGACAATGCAAAGGTATTGATGCATACATATATACATGAATTGACAATGCTAAGGCATTGATACATACATATATACATGTATTGACAATGCAAAGGTATTAATACATACATATATACAAGTATTGACAATGCAAAGGTATTGATACGTACATATATACATGTATTGACAATTCGAAGGTATTGATACATACATATATACATGTATTGACAATGCAAAGGTACTGATACATACATATATACATGTATTGACAATGCAAAGATATTGATACATACATATATACATGTATTGACAATGCCAAGGTATTGATACATATATATATACATGTATTTGCAATAATGGCCGTTCCACGGACTGTGAGAATATCGTGGGCTATGTTGTGTTTTTTGAAAGTGCCAATGTACTCAATTGAGATCGTGTTTTGCAGTCTGTGTGAGATTTTCTAAGCAACCGTGAACATATTTGATTGTAACGTTGTTTTTCGTCCGACCTATTGACAAGGCGAGATAAAGAAGAAATAATAGTTGGTTTATAGAAATGGTAGTAAGCCTGTGTTGAATACTCGCTTGTACCTCTGAACGCAAACCAAACCTCAACGTCACTCAACCCTTGCGACATATGTTACCCACATCTTACCAAGTTTGTAGTAGTGTACTTTGTCTAGCATGCAATAGAGCACTGTAGGGCTGCATACAGTCGCACATAGACATACGGATAAGATATGTACATTGGTTGACCCTATCCCTTTCATCTTAGTATCTGCGTACTGGGTAATTCAAAGATGAGCATGTCTAATATACACGCACAAATTTATCCATCTACGGGCTTTGCTATACGCCATAGTCGTGTCCGCTCTTACTTCTTCAATGGGATATATTGATACCGTGCTGGTTGGGACCTCTTGGCATACCTTTGCTGATATATACACACAATTTCATCCGGGAGTCGGACTTCAAACCACCAGCCTGGATTTTCCAATCTATAAAAAATATTGACACCGCTTTGTGATACACGCTTCTACTGTAATAGAATATGTTCATATATTTGTTTGCCCAAGACTTACTTTTCACATACTTAATACGATTTTTCTACTACTTTAATAGGATATGTAGATATATCTGATTGCAAAGATTTACTTTCATATACTTATGACACTTTTCCACTCTATTGGGATATATTGGTGCCGTAGGTATTTGCCTGACTTACTTTCAATTTACTTTATACCACTCATCTACTCGAATATGATAAGATGATATCCTATATATGTTCGCTCAAGGCTTACTGACCGCTCACGGTATAGTCTCTTTTACTCCAATAGGATATATTGGTGCCGTATTTGATACCCCATGGCATTGCTGACGGGGCGGTCAGGCCCAATCAGAAGCAGTACTGGGCTCACTTCAGGTAAGTTCTTAACCACGACCAAGTACTCTAAGCCTCCACATAACAAGTGATATATGTGGACATATGTCAAGTACCCGTAGTGCCTCTACATAACAAGTGATATATGTGGACATATGTCAAGTACTCTAAGTCGTCACATAAAAAGTGATATATATGGACATATGTCAAGTACCTTGAGCCTTCACGTATCACAGTATATTACGTAGATCAAGTACTCTAAACATCCATGTAACAAAAACTATATGTAATTATTGTTCAAGTACATTAGCCACTTTACATAGAAGAGTACTGTATGTAATTGTATTCGAAACATAGTTACGTAACAAAGAACGATATGTAGTTATCTGTCAAGTACTCTATCCACTTCAAGTAGAGTACTGTATGTAGTTATATTCTAAAAATAGTTGCGTAACAAATAACTATATGTAGCTATCTTTCAAGTATTCGAACCACTTCACATAGAAGTGTGCTGTATGTAGTTATATTCTAAACATAGCTACGTAACAAAGAACTATATGTAGTTATCTTTCAAGTACTCTAACCGCTTCACATTTTTTCAAGTACTCTAAACATTCACATAGCAACTGTGTACGTATAAAGAATGTAGACTATGATTGTATGTCTGCTTGCAATACAATGAGATACACGAGATGCGCGAGCTCTCCGTACCCGCACCAAAGCCTAGTTTATTTCACCGTACAACCTTGGAGACGTTGCAAGGCTGGCACACATGCTCGTGCAGAGCGCTCGTATTAGTGGAACAAGACAACGCTAAGAAGTTCATAGTCAAATATCGGTGATTTTTGTTTTGTTTTGTTTTGTTTTGTAAGATTGGTTTGATTTTGATCGTGCGAAGGAACAAGCGCACGTGGTAATGTTTCTTCCACCGTAGCGGTGATTCACACGAGCACTTCGCATACCCGTTCTCCAGATCAACTTTGGCTGAGCAAGTATGTAGTGGGTGCCTACGTTAATGGCCAAACACAGCTACTTTTTTCTATCTATTTGAGATGAATTACTATCCATAAGAGGAAGAAACCCATCGATTGATGTTCCATACCACACGAAGTGCTATTTAAGGACGTAGGTATCTCGACAATACGACGATCTAAGCACTCACTCGACCAGTTCTGTCTGTTTGCAACAGAAATAACCCAGCACTATACGAAGTATTATGACAACGATTTCTCAGAATTCTAACTAACCCCAAGAAACTAAATCCCTCAAACCTCAACTGACATCAATTCAATTTGCTTGCTATATATATAGCTCTGCCAATCCTATTTTGTAGAAACTTCACACTGCCCAAATTCCCAAGGTAATAGGCTTAAAGCCAAAACCTGAAACCCCTGAAATCTCGAACTGTCACGACTTCAATTTGAAATTTATTTTGCTTGTTACAGGGGCAGCCCCACCAACGATATCCGAAGGAACATCACAGGGCTGCACTTTCCAAAGAATCGAACTGTGATTCTCGATCTGTTAGACAGTCGCCTTGCCCAAGTAAGCGCTTGTGCAGGTCGATCACAGAGCCTCAGAGGCTTACTCGACCACCGATATGTACACATGTCATTTAATCAAATCATAAACACCGTGTGGAGGGTCTAGTTCGGTTAGCCGATAATTGTTCAGTGCTAGGGCAGATCTGTCCTATTTTCACATACCCTACAGGCAACACTACAATCCCCCCTCAAAAGGCCCGCGTATCACTTTGTTTCACTGTCCCTTCTACTGCAAATGCAGACCAAAGGTCTATGAGAGTAACCGTACAGTGCCGTGTTAACCTGTGCATAATACCTCTCTATTCCACACAGTTGGCACCGGCTGACAAGGCCTATAAGATGCACGTGGGGAAGCTCGAGATGAGACAGTCCATTTTCTGTATATGCCCAGGTAGGCTAAACACCAGCTCTGACATTCACCGCGTGTTTCCTGCTAGTTTTATATACATTTATAGTAAATGTATCTACGACACACATACTAGCATTCTTAACCCCAGCTAGCCGTTGACGTCCCGTTGTTCACCATCACTGCATTCGGTATGGACACGAATGCATACAGATAGGCGTTTGGCCATGTATGGAATATTAGTCGGGTTATAAATACTAGCTTTGTTCTCATCTATGCAACTATATCTCTACTTATTTGGATAAGATCCCATGCATACAGGGGTCAAACTTGACTACGAGTTGAAACAGAATGATCGGTATTTGAATTTCTATATACTGACTTTTATATGTTTAATATTATGCCACGATGTACGAAACACACAGTAATAAACTAATCATTTTTTTGCATTCACTGGAAATTTTATATATATATATATATATATATATATATATACATATATACATACATGCATAACAAGACGTAAAATTTAGTACGTAAAGGGAAAAGGGAAA